AAGCGTTGCTGTTGCAGCGGCCCAGCCGCTAGGGATCACCCCAATGCCAAAGGCTGAAGTGAACCTGGGGGGACTGTCTAGTTTAGTAGCGAACGCCCCAATTACCTCTGTGTCCCTCAGCCACTCATCATCTGAGTCAAACAAGCTGTCAGAGAGCAAAGACCAAGAGAACAACTGTGAAAGGCAGAAGGAAACCAACACTTTACATCCTAATGGGGAGTTCCCTATTAAAAGCGAACCCACTGAACCAGTAGAAGAAGAAGATGAAGATACGTATTCAAATGAACTTGATGATGATGAGGTATTAGGTGAACTAGCAGATAGTATTGGTAGCAAAGATTTCCCTCTCTTAAACCAAAGCATTTCTCCTTTATCATCCAGTGTGCTAAAATTTATAGAAAAGGGTACCTCTTCCTCCTCTGCGACTGTTTCCGATGACACAGATAAGACAAAACAGACTGCTGCACACAGACATAGTAGCAATGTTACTAGTAACTATAGCATTAGTGGCAAGGACTTTGCAGATGCAAGTGCCAGTAAAGACAGTCCCACAGCTCTTCATCCAAATGAAACAGCGAGAGGAGATGAAGACAGTTCTGTTACTCCTCACCAGCACAGCTTTACACCTAGCACACCGAGTGCAGGTGACGGCTCACCAGGAAGTGGCATTGAGTGTCCCAAATGTGACACAGTTCTGGGGTCTTCACGCTCATTAGGTGGCCACATGACCATGATGCATTCTCGGAATTCATGCAAAACGCTCAAATGTCCCAAATGCAACTGGCACTACAAATATCAGCAGACCCTAGAGGCCCATATGAAGGAGAAACACCCTGAGCCTGGTGGCTCTTGTGTTTATTGTAAGACTGGACAGCCTCACCCCCGGCTTGCCAGGGGTGAAAGTTACACTTGTGGCTATAAACCCTTCCGTTGTGAGGTTTGTAACTACTCTACAACTACCAAAGGCAACCTCAGTATTCATATGCAGTCAGACAAGCACCTAAACAACGTTCAAAATCTTCAAAACGGGAATGGCGAGCAGGTGTATGGTCACACAGCCCCACCGGCTAACGCTGCCCTCAGTGGCTGCGGGACACCATCTCCATCTAAACCAAAACAGAAACCCACGTGGCGCTGCGAGGTTTGTGACTATGAAACCAACGTGGCGAGGAACCTCCGTATTCACATGACCAGTGAGAAGCACATGCATAATATGATGCTCTTGCAGCAGAACATGAAACAGATCCAGCACAACCTGCACTTAGGCCTTGCACCTGCCGAGGCAGAGCTCTACCAGTACTACCTAGCCCAGAACATAGGCCTGACTGGAATGAAACTGGAGAACCCAGCAGACCCGCAGATGATGATCAATCCATTCCAGCTTGATCCGGCAACAGCTGCAGCTTTGGCACCGGGACTTGGTCAGTATCTCTTTGTCTTCTTGTGTTAGTTTGTTACTTAGAAGTACCAGCGCTCCAGCTGAAGATGAAAACCTGTTTTGTTTCGCTCGTCATCTTGCATTGAGTTTTGTCTGTAAGAGCTAAATTAGTCATACGCTAGGCAATAGCTGCAGGAGTGACGGGAGCATTGCAAGTTCAAGCAGAAAGTGGTAAAGGAACTCCACCTGCCCCGGCGGGCGCTGCTCCAGCCCCCTGACTGTGCCTGCGTCCTTGCAATCCCGTTTTCCTCTCCTCCACCCCTGTGTGCAGGTAGAGAATGAAATTAATTGATTATGTAACGAGGTGCTATCAAATTAACAAACTAGAAAAGATAAAGGCAGCTCTGTTTTCTGCAGTTTTTAATTATCTGAATAGGTCAACATTTTCAGGTAGGAATGCAATCTTTTCTTTCTTACCTGACAATGCCCCTTTATAGTTAGCAAATTGTCTGTATTCCAAGTATAAGAGGAGGGCAAACTGGAATCAAATGCTCATGTGTGAGCAGCGTACTGTCAATCTGTTACCTAATGGTACAGATCCGTACTAAAAAGAGTTCTCAAACTTTGTTCAGCTCTCTTGTTTCCTTTTTGACGTACCTAAATTGTCCCAGTGTTGTTTGCTGGGTGTATTTTCAAGTTAGGAATGCTGAGACCTGGTACCAAAAGTAGCTGAATTAGTATGGATATGCTTATCCTAATTATTATATTGTAGATATACATATATTGACCTACCTCCAGCGTCATTTAAAGGATATAACAAAACTACAATTAGTGCTGTGTAAGTTAATCTAGGCTTTTAAGTTACAAAAGCATTGCTGTTTTGTTATTTTATTGATCAACTTTCATGCCTTTGAAAATACAAATTCCAGAATGACATCATGCCCAGTAGGAGTAATTAAAGCTATCTGATGAGGGAATTTAGAAGTTGAAAGGGATGATTGTAATTGATCCTGATTCAATCCTATTACAGCTTTTTATAGTTTAAGCTCTAGAGAAAGCAAACTCCTTGTCAAGGCTTTATTTTACGGGTTCCTTTGTGTGTGCTATGCTTGCTGGTCTCTACTTTCCCTTTTAATTTTTTTTCTTTTCCTGTAGTAAATAATGAGCTGCCGCCTGAAATCCGGCTTGCCAGTGGTCAGCTAATGGGTGATGACCTGTCCCTCCTTACTGCAGGAGAGCTGTCACCTTATATCAGTGACCCAGCGCTGAAGCTATTCCAGTGTGCTGTTTGCAACAAATTCACCTCTGACAGCCTGGAGGCCCTAAGTGTGCATGTGAGCAGTGAACGTTCGCTCCCCGAAGAGGAGTGGAGGGCTGTAATTGGAGACATCTACCAGTGCAAGCTCTGTAACTACAACACTCAGCTCAAAGCAAACTTCCAGCTCCACTGCAAGACTGACAAACATATGCAGAAATATCAACTGGTGGCTCACATTAAAGAAGGGGGCAAAACTAATGAGTGGAGGCTGAAGTGTATTGCCATTGGCAACCCAGTTCACCTAAAATGTAACGCCTGTGACTACTACACCAACAGCGTGGATAAATTGCGCTTACATACTACCAATCACAGGCACGAGGCAGCCCTGAAACTCTACAAGGTAAGCCGGTGACAGCAACTGCATTCGGCACCAAGTAGACTAGGAAATTAACTGTTTCAGTGCTAATCGAACAAGACTTTGATTAATCAGCAGAATAAATGTTTATTGAATGTGCCTATAATTGACCAAAAACCATGCAGGCCGGTCAGGGAGGAGGGCTCCCGAGGAGTCGTGTTGATGCACCCGAGGGCCCGTTTGGGGTGCCTTTACTGTGAACACAGGGAACGTAAGGGTTTGGGTTTTTTAAAAAAAAGTCCTCTTGTAATAAATGACTAGAGGGGTTTTAAATCTCTCAGAATCTTTTCGGACTTTGTCCATTACATTCTGATCAGAAGCTTGACGGAGATTAACAAAAACTATGATTTTTCCATACCGTGCGTAGGGAAGGACATCACTTTCTGGCATAAGTATCTGTTTGCAACCGTAATCTATATCACAGCCAAATTATTTTACATTGGTATTTTCAGTAAGCACATGCAATATGCCACATTATTACCAAGGATATTCAAAAGTAAGCACTGTCATCCTTTTGTCTGCCCTTCTTTTCCAAGCCAGTAATGATTTTTCACAAACATGAAAGGGTGTGGTGTAGATAAATATGTTAGTAGAATGGCAACTATATTTTTATCTTTACTGGAAAAAACTATGCGGATATAATGAATATGTGGGAGTGATGAATACCATTTATTACACAACTTGTCATGACTTTTTCCAAACCCTAATTATGGGGTAACTTATTTTCTGCAGTGTGTTTACTGGATTGGCTTGATTGTCTTGGTTCATGTACAAAATATAACACATTCATTTCCAAGATGAATAACTTTGTAACTTATTAAAAACTTCTTTTGTCTAGGGGATATAAAAATTCAGGAAATATTGCAAACCATTAGTCACTGTAACAAGCTCTAAATATGATTAGAAAATCCATTTTGCAAGTGTTATCTATTGATTTATACTAGAAATCTGCGATAACTAAACTATCAGGAGTCATCTGCTGATTACAGCAACTATGCTGGTTCTCTAATCATGTTGAAAATGTGTACACACGGAACAAATACAGAAAAGCCCCAGCAGACCTCTAGTTTAAGCAAAAAATAACATTTTGCTGATGTTCAACCATGTTTAAATGGTTGTTCTGAGTTAACACAGGGTGCACAGACAGTAACATGAATTTTAATGTTTTAACGTGATATTTGTAACCTTGGTGGATCTGTTCTGGACAAAAATGGCAGTAATACAATATCGGGTCTATTATATTGTCCCACAGTGCTGCCTGCTCTGCTAATTTAATCATATATTTTATTTAAATTGCATTTTTCCTTAACTCGCGGGAGGTGGGGTTTTTGTGCTTGTTTGCTGTTTTGTTAAAGATCCAAAGTCCCGTTTTGAAAAAGTGCCCAAAGAGCTGGGAGTACAGTGACACAGCCCGCCTAGGCAGCAAAACTGCCTTCAGAAGTTCCTGCTCCCTTTCGTCTGTGAAGCGGTTCCTTGTGGAGCCACGCAGTAAATCAGGTTTTTTAAATGATCTGGGTTGAACGTAGCTGATCTCCATCTCTTTTTTTGGAGTGTTAACCTGGATTATTTCAATGATCTGTTTTGTAATGCTGCCATTCAGAGAGATGCTGCTGCAAACTGTGTCACAGGTAGGAATGACAGAATGGGAGATGGGAAAGCGGAAGGCTTTTCTCAGATGGCTTCACTGCCAAAGCTTTGGAGACTGTTGAAATAAGACACCAGTTGCTCGTTTTTTAAATAAAGCCACAGGCATAGCTACGGAATTGCAAGGTACAAACCATCTACTCAAAACAGCACTGTCTCTTCACTCACTCAACCCAATCGCTAGAGAAATCTTGGTCAAATATGTTTGGGTTTGCAGCATGTCCTTCAAAACATTTGATTTAGCGTACTAAGGGAGCGAGTCCCTCATCACATCATCCTGCCGGTGAAGCTGCTTCTTTTCCAGATCCTGTTTTGTTAGATTGAGTAATTCAGTAGCGCCTGTGTGGTGCAGCTATCATACATGGCAAATCGCCATCGCTAACGTTTTAAGTTCCGTCTCTGAATCAGGGTGAAAGACATTCCAGTGGAGAAGGAATGCATGAGTTCTTAGACACCCTCTAAGCTTCATGTCCTACAGAAGGACAATTGAAAGTGTACTGCTGGTAACCATAGGGTTGCAAGTCTCCTGCTACATGTATTTTTTAAGACCTGTCCCTAGGATTGCTAGTGAGAAACTCAGCTTTTTAAAAAGTTTATGTCCCTCATGACTTCTTAGAGAAGCTTGGAAATTTGAACCCTGGTAGGCTTAACAACTCTAAGAAAGCAGATAGCATGTACATGTGCACACACTATTTTTATATAATCTCATTTTAAGGCTAATTTAAAGGAGAGGAATGCCTTATTTAAAGCATCAATTGGGGTATCAGTATTATTATTTTTTAAGATTTGGGTTTGGCAGTACTACAATGTGTCCCAAATAACCAAAATGTTCTGGATGTGTCTGCTTTATAACAGAATGTACATCACCCAGAAAACTTTGCTTTTAATTGTGGGTGTACATTCAGGCCTCAAGGTGGAAATAAATGAGATTTTGAAAGTCTGTAAAGTTATCTGCTAACAGACTTGATAGTTTTGTCAGGTCTTGGTGAAGCTGTTGACACCAAGAGAGTTGTAAACTTTTTTCTCTTGATACATCAGTTAAACTTTTAGAGCACCTAAGGAAAAAAAGAACATTAATTTGTATGAATAATAGATATATGCCTTGGGAGCGATATCGAATATTCATGAATTGTGTTTATATTCACGCAGCTCCTCTAACTCTTTTAAAATTAAGGTGCTGTGAATATGGTTTGGCAATAAAAACTTTAATACTAAAACCATCTGAAAGCACAGAAAAAGAATCTGTGGCTTTGTTCCTTTACTTTGTCAAGTACCTCAAAGTTTTTTCTTGAGTCATTTATATTTATTTAAATTTTATTGTTTTGTGAATTTTCTTTTTTTAAATGTTGCCGTAACAGCTTGATTTCTCTTCCTGTGCTTAACTATTGATGGAATAAAAGGATGTCTTTTCATAACCGTAGCTTTTAAAGCAACCATGAGCATCAGAAGCTTCTCTTCTGAAGCTGTATAATTTTAGGCAGTATTAAAATGTCACTTTTAGAGTCAGGTTCTAAATGTGGCAAAGTGAAACCGTTAGCTGTTTTCTAAGTTATTTTAAAAAGAAATGGCCTGATTGCTCCTTACAGAAGTGCAGTATTCAAATGGTGTTGGTAATGCGGCTGCTAGGAACCAGAACAAAGACGGCCTTACCCTGAGTGAACTCAGCTTGGGCTAAATGAATTTCCCAAAGACTTACATTTGGCATTGCGGAGCTCGATATTAGCAAATTAAACCACAGAAGAGTCGTAAGTCCTTCGCAGCATCCGTCAAGAAGCATTCAGTGACTCCACAAGTAAACAGAGAAAGCCTCTATAGCTACAGAGTACATTTCCATGCTGCAGGAGGGAGCGTTCAGCTTCTGCAGATTTGGGCAGCTGAGGCAGGACAGTGATCTACCTCTGTGGATATAAAGCATATATAGCTGGAATTGCTCTTAAGGAAGCCATTTTGTAGCTTAGTCAAATAGCTTGTGATTCAGGGAACTGCATATATCATGTCCTGTGCTCATAAAACAGATTCCAAATATTTCAAATGGATAAATAAATAAATAAATATCTTTTTTGCTAAGTAAACTGTAGTGGTTGAAAAGAAGCTTCAGTTAACCAAGTAACTGAATGATAGGATCAATTTCTAATCAAAACTAAATATATAAAGTTAGTCTATGAAAAATATAATTCAATTAGCAGATAATAGCTTTAATAGACATTACTTTCTATTGGATATTTAGTGTAGTTTACATCATATATGCAATTATTTAGGAGCTCAGGGAAAGTGACAGGCAGCAGTTAGCAGACTAATACTCAGCTGTGTGAAAACTACCTTGGTTTTCCCTTTATTGACAAAATATTGATCCATAACACTATTAATGCTATGACTGTCAGTTCAATTTGGATAGATCACTTTACCTCTCATGTTCTCAAATGGCCAAGATATTACCCAAAAGGAGTGACCTGATTTCAGTTTTAGAAGGTTAAAGGTTAAAGGTTAGCTCAAAAGCATCATCTGCCTAGCTGCTTAACTTTAAACTGATCAATTTAATGAAAATCTGTTTTGCAGATGGTGTTTTAATGTCTTTGGCAGGATTTAGGCAGCTTTAACATTAGACGTATGCTAGTAAAAATTATTTCTTTATTTGACCAGAACAACACCTTTTCTTTTATGTTTTAAGGTAAAAGGCATGTGGGATATGGTATTTTGGCAAAGGACCCAGAAGCAGAAAGTGTTGATGATCTTTCCATATGGGCTCAAAACCAGAATACCTTTATGTCTATTGCTAACGATGACTGAAGAAACAAACAAAGCTGTATTCATTTTTTACCATAACGTTTTACTTTGAACCCATAAAAAAGAATTTCAGTCAGAACTGTCCTTGAAAAAGGCTTGTCTTCTCTGCCACGGCTGGAAAGCACCAGCATTAACATTTTTAACCTGGCAGAGCACGCTGATTGTCTCTTTCAGACGTTGTGTTTGTAGATCAGCAGTACTCTTTTTCCTACTTACAGTATTCTTTTTCCTACTCGCAAACCGAGTGGTAGTTGTGTTACTTAGCTGTAGATACCGTAAATAATAAGGCAAATTAGTCAATTCAAATGGGTAAGTTTTATCTGATGGAGGTTATCTGAATAAACAAAGAATTAGATCCTCAGGAGTGTAAAGCAGAGCTTTGTGTTTATGTCTTCTGAGAATCTGGCCCTCACAGTTTTTGCCAACATAATTAAGTTTCAGCACAAGCACGTCTTTCTGTTTTCAGATGTATGCAATTCAATAGGAATTTCTTGGGCTGCTAATGCAATACTATTATATGTTAGCTTTGTAATTAGCTAGGACTCTATCCCTTTGCT